GGTGACAATTAAAAAAGGAAGATTACGAGTACCAGGAAGCCCACTTCTGAAGTATTTAGACAACAGCGGGAAAGCACGGGGCCGTGTGAAATAGAACCAGGGCCTGAAACGGTCACCAGGGTGAGGTCCCTCCTCCGTCGGCCACACCTCGGCTTTCCCTCGTTCTCAGGCGGCACTGGCATTTCAAGCAGCACCAGAGTTAGTCATCGCACTCAGTGTGAGGGCATCTCAGCGGGGTTGTCCCAGAGAATGGATGTCTCACTGCGTTTCACTGCCTCAGACGGGCTCGCCTGCCCTTCACGGAACCAATCACTGTGCCAGGGGAGTGAGGTGCCGGGTGCGCCGGGCCGGGCTCAGGACTGTGCCGGATGTGGGACAAAGTCAGCTCACCCTGAGCACCTCGTGGAGGACAGGCACCCAGCAGGAGGAAACGGAGGTGATGCGAGCAGAGAAAGAGCAAAGGAAGGCTGGGGATCAAAAACAACAGCTGTCCACCATGGCCTGTTCAGAAGAGAACAGAGAGTTAGATCAGGTGAGTGTTGTGGGAGGCAAGAGATAAAACCGCTTATTTCAAATGGGGAACCAGGGAAGTCTTCTTGGGGCAACTGACCCCTGAACTGAGCGTCCCGGGGTGGAGGTGGGCAATAGGGAATGGCATGAGCAACGGTGAGAGAGTAGGTGAGAGGGGTGAGTGCACGCCGCCTGCTGCTTCACATGAATGAAGAGGAGCCAGGGTAGAGAAGGCTGAGGAGGCTGATGGGAGGTGCTGGCTGCCGGGCTGGGCATCACCCTTCACTCGGTAAATGATGGGCAGTGTTGAAGGTTCTGGTCCAGGAGCTGGTTGAAATAGCTGTACCTTAGGAATGGAACTTTGTCATGATATATGGGGTGGATTGGGATGGATGAGGTGGGAACCAGGGAACCAGTTTGAAGACTATTAGAATAATCTCAGTGTTTGGGGCCAGGGCACCTGTGAGAATGAGGGGAGAGAATGAACATGAGAGAAATGATGGTAGGAGAAGAGGTGGGATGGAGACAGGTTGGTGACTTCTTGAATGGGAGTAGAGAGAGCTCGGCAGGAAAAAAGAATAAAACATATACACAAAGTGTCCGATTTGGGTGGATGTTGAAGCCTGAAAGAGAGAGGAGAGAGGAGAAAGTGAGAGAGAGAGAGAGAGAGACAGAGAGAGAAGGAGAGAGGGAGAATATTGTGGTAAGATGATGATAATTTCCACCTGCTGACATTTTGAGTTTGGGGTACCAGTAGCAGATCGAATAGAAATTATAACATTTCTGAGTTCTAAGGGATTGAAGGACCAGACATCTGGCCGCTCTGCACCCACAACCCTGCAGGGCATCGGTTCGCCTGCTGGAGCTGAGTCGTTGCTGTCCCCTCTGGACAGTGCTCTGCAGCGTGCCACGCTGCCCACTACTCCCATCTTTCAACCGGTGATTAATAAGCCTGCATGTATCTAATTACTTCTTTTATTATATATTTTACCATTCAAAAATATTGACTTTTTTTTCTTATAATGTGTCTTTTCTCTTATAAATGATGAATTTCCTACCTCTGTTAAAAAGGTTTCCCCAAATCCTAGGTGATGTTTTATGTCTTCTAAATTAATTTTTTTGTTGTTGTTAATCCTAACCTGAGAATATTTTTTCCATTGATTTTTTTTTTTTAGAGAGAGAATGGAAGGGAGGGGGAGAGACACAGAGAGAGAAACACTGATGAGAGAAAGACACATCAATTGGCTGCCTCCCACACACGTCCTCACCAGGGGCAGGGATTGAGCCTGAATTTGAGGTACGTGCCCTTGACCAGAATCGAACCCAAGACCCGTCAGTCCATGGGCCGACGCTCTAACCACTGAGAAAACCAGCTAGGGCTACATTATTTTTGTTTTACATTTTGCATGGAAACACTCCAGCTCGAACTGATTTTTGCAAATGTTTGAGATAGGGCTCCAGCTATATTTTCTTTCAGGAGATACTCACTCAGGTCAGCACCATCAAATTTCCCTCTGATCCTTTGTCAGATATTACATTCCTGTATTTACTGGGACCTAGTCCTGTGTTCTTTATTTGTTTTTACTTAACTATGTGACCTTCCTTGTAACTAGGAGAAAGCAGGCTCTGTTTAGAGCAGTGGTTCTCAACCTTCCTAATGCCGAGACCCTTTAATACAGTTCCTCATATTGTGGTGACCCCCAATTTCATTGTTACAAATTGAACATAATTAAAGCATAGTGATTAATCACAAAAACAATATGTAATTATATATGTGTTTTGCGATGGTCTTAGGTGACCCCTGTGAAAGGGTCGTTCGACCCCCAAAGGGGTCACGACCCACAGGTTAAGAACCGCTGGTTTAGAGGATCTGTCTTTAGGTCTTTTACAAGAAGGTGTAAGTAGAATGAAAAAGGACCAGACACATGTGAATAGTGTGGAGGTGGGAAAATACGGACAGTTTTGGTGACATTGAGTTTTGTATTCTTGGCAAACAGCAATATGATGTTGGCTACAAAAACAAACAAATATATATATATATATATACACACACACACACACACACACACACACACACATATGTATGATGTTGGCTAGTTTGCCATTGAATGAGAGGTCAGGAAAGGCAATTGATCAAATAATAGGCCAATAATTTGAAACAAGTAAAGTCCTTCCAGTGAAATGAAAAAGAAAAAGAGTCTGAGTTATAAGTATCACCTTTCTGATTCGAAGACCAATTTCTGTTCCATTCAGAAAGTATTTGACAGTCTTTCTGCTGAGAACCCATGCTCAGCATACGTGTGAGTCAGTCGGGTGAATGGCTGCACCTGGGAGAGAGGCAGGACAGAGGGCCGGTCTTGGCCAAGGGAAGCCCATTAGCTGCCTACAGAGGCCAAATGAGCAACGCAATTCCATCTTCCCTTTCCCTTGAGGCCAGATCTAGACTAACAGCTCTCAAATTGTAGCCGGCACCAGAATCACCTGGGAAACTTGTTAAAACACAGATTGCTGGGCCCCACCCTCACAGCTTCTGATTCAGCAGGTGCTCGTGTTGGGGGGTGGGGGCGATAATTGGCATTTCTAACAAATGCCCAGCTGGAGTGTTTTCATGCAAAGAGGCAATGCTACTGGCCCAGGGCCCCACCTTGAGAATCATTCTCTAGCCCAGTGGTTCTCAACCTTGGCTGCACATTAGAATCACCTGGGAATCTTTTTTAAAATCCTGAGATCACGGCCTCATTCTCTGGAAATTCTGTTTCTTTGTGACTAATGTTGTGGTCCCACCCCATAACAAAGAAACAAAATTTCCGGATATGGAGGCCCTGAAATCGATTTTATAAAATAGATCCCGGGTATAATATTAATTATCTAAGTTGAAAGCCAGGTCCAGAAAGATATTTCGGGTGGGTTAAGATAGCTTTTATTTCTTTCAGGAGGGGTGTCCATGGAGATAAAAAACTTGGTAAGAATATACGTTCCGAAAAAGAACACTCGACTTATCACACATTTTGCATTTTCAACCCCGGGCTGTTGA